GCAATTTGGTAGTCTGTTTGATATAGACCCACTGAAGGGGTACCCCAATTGCCTCACCCTGCTTCCCTGTTCAGCATGAAAGAAGCCAGAGTGGTCTGTGTCCCCATTCCCTATCCACAAGCTGGATAGCCTCTTCAGAGGATGGTGTGATAAGAATAGGAGGTAGGAATTGGCTAGACAGTTAGTGTAAAAAGACCCCAAAGAAAAGTAACCAGCCTTTTGGCTAAAAGTCAAAATGTCCTTGGACCTCTTAGCAACATACTCAGTTCCAAAGGCCAAAAATGTCGAAAATATTTGGGAGCTCTTATCTAATCCTTAAAAGATTTTAGGGTTACCTCTTTAGAGGGGGGAATATTAGAGTACCAAAAAGCCCCATTAAAAGAAAAAAGAAGAAAGAGTATATGAAGTTATCAGAAAAAAGTGATGGGGAGATATGGGAGGAGTTGGAGGGGAGGGAGTGGGTATGGATTTGATCAAAACACCTTATATGCTTATATCCCTGTATGAAATGCTCAATAAATTATTTAAGAAATTCAGTCCAAGTTATGTTACAAGTATATTCTATATTTTGCTTCTATTTCTAATATTTTGAATTTGTTCTGATAGTGTTTACAGCTCTCTTTAATTTTTTGTTGTTGTTGTTAGCTTTTTAATCCGTAGGAATGCAATATGAGCTAAGCTCTCTGTGGTGGTTTGAATGAAAATGTCACCTATAGGCTACAAGTATTTGGACATTTTGTCCCCAGACGATGGCACTGTTTGGGGAGGTTTTAGAAGGTGTGGCTATCCTGGAGGAAGCACGTCACTGGGGGTAGGCTTAGAGAATTCTTAAGCCTTCCCAGATCTCCATTCGCTCTCTTGCATCCTGTGCCTGCTTGAAGATGTGAGAGCTTAGCTTCTGCTGCTCCTGCTCCAGCCACCTCCAGCCACCATGCCTCCCTGCCATGACAGACTGTAATTCCCCTGGAACCGTAAGCTCAGTTGTCAGGGTCAGTGTTTCTATCACAGCAACAGAAAAGTGACTATTTTAATAAAAGCCAATAAAAGCCTTTTATTTGGGTAGTTAACTTTGACCCATGAGTCACAGTCAATGCCGTTGGTAATCTGACAGATCAGAGTACAGAGATGTGTTTCATATACTTTATAGTTTAAGATACTGAAATTCTTTTTCGAAAAGCTAATTGTACTGATACCCTTTGTATTTTAGTCAAAAGAAAGTAAAAATTTCCCAAAATTCAGATGATGTGATTTTATTGTCATGAACTGATCAACTGGATCGGCTACCTGCACCCCACTATGTACAAAGAATCTTTGAGCCAAGCCCCCAGGTTAGCTGTGCCATCTTTTCATTTTTATGAGTAACAAAGAGAGCCTAATCATACCACCTGATATGGCTATTACTGTTAGGAAGATATAAAGTGATGTAAAAGTGAGCTTAGCATAGTGGTTTGTTCAATGAATAGGTTTTAACAGAGGGTTTAAATGGAAATTTTTGACAGGCCGTCAAATAAAATACAGAGTGAAATTCCAAAGCAAGATCCTCAAAGCTAGAGATTACAAAGTAATTACCTAAAGATATGTACTTTGGGTCCCTTACCTTCTTGAAGATTTTTTCTTATTGATTTGTGTGTGTGTGTGTGTGTGTGTGTGTGTGTGTGTGTGTGTCTGTGTGTGTATTTCATACAGAGCATCCCAAACAACCTTACTCATCTTTATACCTGCATCCTGGTAGACAGAGTAGAAGAGAGGAAGGAATTGGTGAGGGCATTTTGGTTGTGGAGACAGCTGAGGGTTCCTCCTTTCTTTTCAGGGTACATGCGGTCCCCAAACTTAGTGACAGGAACTTCTCAAAGTCTACCCTGGGAGCTTCTCTGCTTTCTACAGTTGGATATTTAGAACACAGGTGCCTGGTGTAGGTTGAGAAGCTAACATAGGCTATGGCAGTGGGCTAGAGGTGCATTCCACATTAGCTTCTCTTTGTATCAGTTGTGAAGCTATGGACTGCCTCATTCACTGAGAATGCTCTCTCAGCACCACGAGTGGACCTCTTTCATGGGCAAATGTGCTCGGAGATCATACATGCATGGTCTGGAGGAGTGTGGGGTTCCATCTAAACAGGATTCTGGCAGAAGGTGAGGGATAACTTATAGAGGAGAGTGTGGTGGCTGAACTGTCACAGAGAGAAGCTGAGTGCCTAAGGGTGTTATTGGCAGCTTAGGAAACACCAGCCCTTGAGCTGCAGTGGGAAATCCTACAGCTACGTGAAATGTGGAGGACCTGCTGATTATCCATGAAAGGAGCCTGATATCTCTGTGCACCTTCCCCTCCTTCACCCTCTTCCTTTCTCTGCTCCCAACCTGGACCCTCAGAGCTCATCAGAGAGGGAAAATGGAGCAGCTCTATCTAGATAAAGACAGAGGAAACCACCCACACCGCTTTTGTATTCAGCTGCTTTTCAGCCTGAAGCAGACCTGGGAGATGGAAGACAAATGGACATTGATCAAGAAATGGGGTACTGAATCAATATCTTGGACATGACGATCTAAGTTTGAATTGAAACTGCTTGTATTTTAAATGAACGTAGGACTTTAGGATGAATAAAAGTGAACAGCAAAGCTTTCTGAGGTAGTCTAGGGCTAGGCAGTGCAGTTCTTCCTGAATGCAGATTAAAGTGCATTAGATTATTAGTTGTTCGGATCTGCTGCATTAGTTATGTTATTATTGCTAATGCTTTTCTATAAGGCTTAACTTCAAAGTTAGTATTGCATTTGCGTAGTCTTCACTTTTGTTTGAAAATTTCTCTGCATTTTTCTTACTTTTAACAAATACCTCCATACGGCAAGCCACCTCATTCAGTGACTTATGAGTTTATTTTATAACCTGGTTTCTCACCAGAACATTTATTTTCATAACATTAATGTTTTCTGAGTACTTTACTGAGACTTTTTATATCCAAGGTGAAAACTAGGTCACATTTACTTGAATTTCCAGACTTAAATATTTCAACATGCACTTAATGTAACAGTTTGAGTATTTGAACATGACCAGGAACAGATAACACTTTTCTTAATATTTATTTAAATTTAAGTATTGTACATATTAAAAGGTGCAAAATTCCCAGGATTTAGTTTGACAGAATACAGAGTGAGTATATCCATGTGACTAAGGCCAGATCGTAGAACAGAACTTTGCAGACTGCCTACTTGAACTCTATTTGTATCAGTGGTTTCCCTTGATTTTAGACTTTTTAATGATGGAGCCAAATTTTTATACTTTTGAGGTTCACTCATGTTGTTATTTATAGTTCTCATTTCTCTAATTATAAATGTGTATATGTACTCCACTGGACAAATATGGAATGATTTATTAGTTAATTCTATTGTTTATAGCTTGATGACTATTTGGACCATTCTGAGACCAAGACTCTTGCCTAATGCCACCAGAAACATTCTTATAATGTGCTTGGGTGAAAATATGAATTTTTATTGATGCCATGCTTAGGAGTGCAATTATTGTAGCTATTTTCCCTTTTATTAGATAGTAACAGTTTTTCAAAGCGGTTGTAAAGATTTCACTTTCGTCTATCATGTCTGAGAAGTTCCTTCACTACCTGTCAATGGTTTTCCTTTTCACTGTAACTAACCTTGATTTCTGAAGACATCTATTCTTAGTCATTGCAGCCTTCATTACACCTCCATGCTGGGTCTTGGGGATCTTCCCTTGGTCTTCATTTTTTTCATGAAGACATTGCTATAGTTTGGTTGCTTATTCAAAGCACAGTTCTTAAATTTAGGAAGAACTCAGAATATCTATATTCATGGTCAGTGCTTTTTCAATAGTTATCAATACCTTTGCTAAGTGAAGGAAAGATTAGAATGGCATTAGTCAGTATTTGGAATGCAAGTGTAGAAAACTCGATTCAAACTCACTTCAGCCAAAAGTAGCCTACCCTGAAGGCTGAAAAGCCAGGCATGGCTGACTCCAGGGGCTAAGAGTTACTTTCTAAATGAAAACTGCTTTCCACTGGGTTCTTTCTCTGTTAGGGTGCATTTGCCCCCTGTTGGACAGAAGAATTCTATCAGTAGTTCAAAACTGCCATCAGTAAAAAAAATAAAAATAAAAACTCCAGAAAAGTAGCAATTACAAAACTCTAATCTTCCCGGGATTGTTCACATGCCCTGGAATTGAAGTTTTTAATGGCTCTGACTGGGTCTTCTTGAGTTCAGAGTGGGCAGGAGATCCCTCCTCATCCCACGCTCTTAGAGGAGCAAAGATCTCTCTGGGAAGCATGGGAATGCTTGTTAGCAAGAGACAATGGTTGGTGGCAGATAAAAGAACAAAGCTTCTCTTGTTACCAGACCATGAAAAAGTGATGCAGTTCATATATCCCTACGGATCCTGTAAGATTAACTTTTGGATTAAGCAATATTGCAAGAAAGTTGCACATGGGAGCAGGTTTAGGCCAGCGAAGCTGCTCTTGTTAGTCTAAACTAGGACTGCACTAAAGAAGACAGGGAACAGCCCCCTGGAACTCCTCGTAATGCTATAAGGTAGTACAAGGGTACATTTTCCTCTATTTCTGTCTTCCCATTATAAGGAGGAGTGTTCCATTTCTAAACTCTGTTATGACATTATCTTACAGGTCTTTGATTTCTGAAACTGATCAGGCCTTTTTCTTTCCTTTGCTAGAATGACAGACTCAGTTTTATGGCTTGTTTTAATGAAATACACTGGCCTTCCAAGCATGGAATGCTCTCATATTAACTTCAGTACTTAATTTTTATTTCATATTTCCTTTAGTCTTAGCTATGAGTCCCCCTGACTCCCCACCAACAATTTTTTGGTGGTGGGTATCCTTTGAAATTTCTTATGACACAAAATTGAAAAAATGAATAGCATTTTGTGAAAATTTCATTTCACACATTGACAAACGTCAGAATTTTAAAAAGGTGTTTGCATTTGACAATAACTTTATTGACAGAATTTATTTTGGATTCTAGTTTTAGATAATGGCGTCGTGAAACACTACAAAATCAGAAGACTTGATGAAGGGGGCTTTTTCCTTACCCGGAGGAAGGTTTTTTCAACACTGAATGAGTTTGTGAGTTACTACAGTCTGGCAAGCGATGGCCTATGTGTCAAGCTGGAAAAGCCATGCTTAAAGGTAAAATTCTTTCACTCTAAGTCATTTAAAGATAACATTTTCCATCTCAGACACTCAAGTATTTGTTGTGTGCTGTCAATTCAGAAAAAAAAAAAAGTTTTTTGCTTACTTAAAGTAGGAACAGGAAAATTATGACTCACGGGCCAGTACTATCCCATGCTCACTTTGGTAAATAAGTTTAATTATTATTTTTTGCAAGAGACAGGATGATTCATTTATTGTCTGTAGCTGCTTCCATGCTGTTTTATGTTAGAGTTTAATAGTTACAGTTGAGACATAATGCACGTGGTACACTTGATTGTGAACTTTATTAGCCAGTGTTGCTCTGATCAAATAAAGAAAAACAAAGGAGGAAAGATTTATTTTGGTTCACGATTTTTTTTTTTTGTCTTTTTGAGACAGGGTCTCCCTGTAGCCCCAGCTGTCCTGGAACTCACTATGTAAACCAGGCTGGCCTCTAACTCACAGAGATCCGCCTGCCTCTGCCTCCCAAGTGCTGGGACTAAAGGCGTGTGCCACCACGCCCGGCTTGGTTCATGATTTTAAAGGCTGAGGCCATGGTTGCTTGGCTCTACACACTTGGGCAGAACATCATGGTGGTGGAAATGTGGTAGAAGAGGCTCTTCCCCTCATGGTGGACAGGAAGTCACTAAAAAGGGAGACTACAGGAAGGGGCCAGGTGAGATATAGCTCTAAGGGCGCCCCCTAGTGATCCAGTCCATCCAAGTGACCATTCTCCCTTATTTCTCTTGATAATACCATACTCTTATAGCCTTACATCCTCTCAAGGATTAATTCTCTGATTCTATCAGAGCTCTTATGATTTAATTGTCTCTGAAAATGGAATGATGGACATACCTAGAGGTTTGATTCACTAATCTCCTAACTGTTTTTTAATCCAGTCAAGCTGAAACAGTAACTCTGTCCGGGAAGTCAGGGGCCTTCATATTTTACTTATTGAATGGTGCCTTGTCCATGCTTAAAATTATTTATTAATTAAAGAAGTAAGCGAGTCAATAAAATTATAAAGAAATGACAAAATGAATTTGAAAAGCAATGGTTTCATTTTACAAAAATATATGATGTATATAGTAAAAAATGTGGGAAAGAGTTGTAAATGAAGTGGCATTTTAGTTGAGTTTTGACACTGAAAGGACCAAGCTAGGCAAGAGGCCAGTGGGAAGTCATTACAGACTTCTGTGAGAGTGACACTGGACGATGATGGGATGAATGGACATTATGCTACAGAATCTGAGAGAGAATCAATTTAAAGCATTAACTGTACAGATTCTTCTACAATCATTTTCCTGTTTTAAAACAGAATATAATTTACAATATTTTGTTTTTAAAATCAGCATTTCCCTCAAAAAGCACTAGATTATCGTTTCAATGAAAAGCTTGCATGCGTCTTTTGTTCTGTGCGTGCGTGTGTGTGTGTGTGTGTGTGTGTGTGTGTGTGTGTGTGCAGGTGTGCTACAGTATGTATGTAGAGGTCAGAGGATAACTTTGTGGAGTTGTTTCTGTCCTTCACCTCTACATGGGTTCCAGGAATTGAACTCAGGTCCCTAGACTTGCACAGGAAGTGCCTTTGCTCTCTAAGACATCTCACCAGCCTCATAGCTTTTGTTCTTACAAGTGTTCTCATGATTCTGCAAAACAGGTACAGGTTCCAGCTCCTTTTGATTTGTCATATAAAACTGTGGACCAGTGGGAGATAGACCGCAACTCCATACAGCTTCTGAAGCGATTGGGATCAGGCCAGTTTGGAGAAGTCTGGGAAGGCCTATGGAACAATACTACTCCTGTGGCTGTGAAAACATTAAAACCAGGTATGAGAACATCAGAGGTTAAATGACATACGTTGAATTTTATGAGCACAATTTCCCATTGTAAATGCCCTAGAAGTCATAGGACAGCAAGCAGGTGTTACCATCATTCTCTCTACCCTAGGTGGCCATAACTTTTGAGCAGGCTTTAAAATAAGAAGGCAAGAGCATGCTCTCTGGGTCAGCTAAGCTTAAAATAGCTCCAATCCAAGATCCCAGAAATGCATTTCTTTTCAGAGGTTAGAATTCAATCTTTTTACATCCTTCTTATGCTTGTCACTGGCCTTCACAACAATTTACTGACTAAATATACTTTAAAGCACATGTAGGAGGCTGGAGATAAGGCTCAGATGGTAAAGTACTTGCCATGCAAGCATGAAGAACTGAGTTTGACCCCCAGCACCAGGTAAAAAGCCAGAGATGACAGTGCATACCTGCAATTTGAGAACTAGGTAGGGGGAGATTCCTGGAGCTTGCTAGTCAGCCAGTCTAGCTGAATTGTGAGCTCCAGGTTCAGTGAGAGAGCCTATCTCAAAAAATAAGGTAGATTGAGAGAGGAAGACACGCGATAACCTCTGACTTATACACCACATACATACACACACGTGCACATGCACCCTCCCCCCATGCACACGAACACACACACAGATGGGTGAACACATACAATTGGATGAAACATTGATTGATAAGGGATATTACCGAGGAATAAGTGTTTTTATTAAATAGGAACTGTGTGTAACTAAAGATAAGATAGTTCATCCAAAGACCTCATATTTGAAAATAGAGAAACTATTTTTTTTTCCATTTCCATTTTCCCTGTAGTGACAAGCAAAAGTATCCTAAGATGGACATTCATCAGCCAGGCATTATTGCCCCACTTTAAAGATGGGACAAGAGAATTAAGTAACTTTCCTAACACTATTCTTACCATCTTGAGCACTTTTAAAGTATTCTATGCCTCAGTTCCATCATTTGTAAAATTCTGATAATAATAAGGCTAACGTAGCAAGGTTATTACAAAAGTTAAATCAGGTCATCAGCAGAGATGCATTGCATTGTTCATTGTTCATAGTCAGTAACCAATAAGACATATTGGTATTATTGTCTCTGAGTCAGTAAATGGCAGAGCTGAGCTTTTGACCCACATTTGTGGTTATTATATCATGCCCCATGGAAGTGATGTTCTATAAAAGTACAACATGACTCTCTGGCTACCTCATATCTGCTTCTAATAGCATTGCAAGGATCTTATCCACAGGCTAGACTACAGTGTTCTGCAGGTCCTCTCTTATTTGCCTAGCCAACAAAGCATAGAAATTTGCCTTCTCCTGGTGATAAAACTTGAGCATTTAGCATTTTAAAGCTGTCAGCTTGTATAGCACCATGTTTCCTAAACTGTGTACCAAGACACTTTCGGGTACCACAGCAGAACCAAGGGATAGTTGAAATAATATCTTCAATTCAACATAAATTTGCTATATTTAAGTTGTTCAGAGTTTCAGCTTTAGACCGTGTTATATCCTTTTTTTTTTTTTTTTGCTATTTCTTTTTTTTGTAAAGTTTTAAATCTTTAAAATTTATTCTTTGATAATTTCATACATGCATGTGATATATTTTTGACCATATTTACCTCCATTATCCCCCCCCCATTAAACCCAGGCTTCTTCCCAACAGCCCCCCCGCCACATTTTCATGCCTTCGTTTTGTGACTTGCTGAGTTTAACCGAGGTTGCCTGCATAAACCTGGGTAGGGTTCTATTTACTAGAGTATGGGAAACTTACCAGTGGCTATACCACTGAAGAAAATAACTCCTTCCTCGGAAACCATTAGCTGCCAATAGGTCCTCAGGAAGGTTTGGGGCTTCATGAGCCCTGCCTTCATCCACAATGGAATGTTGGCAGCCCAGTCTCGTGCAAATCTTACATAGGCAAGCACAGCTGTTGTGAGTTTATGAGTGCATCAACAGTCATGCCTAAAGGTGGTGTTTCACAGCACTCCTGCTTGTTCTCCACTTTACATTCTTCCTGTGTCTTTTTTTGCAATGCCTTGATCCTTGGAGGGGTGATGTAGATGTGCTGTTTAGGCATAAGCACTCAACAGTCACCTATTCTCAGCACTTTGATTACTTATGAGTCTTTGGATTAATCACTGCCCACTATAAGAAGAAGCTTCTCTGACCAAGGCTGAGAGCAGCACTAATCTATGAGCATAAATATAAATATTTAGAACACAACATGTCCGTTTAGGAAAACAACAGCAATAGTTTCTAGCCTGCATCCTATGATCCCACTAGCCATGGGGTTTTAACCAGGTTTACAGTACCAGGCATGGATTCCCTCCTGCAGAGGGGGCCTCAACTTCAACAAAAAGTAGCTGATCACCGCTATAAAGTTATCCCAATATTGTACCAATGGGCACATCTTGCCTGGCAGATCAGCATTGTAGGATGTAGAGTCTACAGCTGGGTAAGACCACTGATAACTTTTCTCCCTTAGCAGCCTACATAGCACCCTCTCCCATTCCCTGACTCTGTTAAGGCGAGCCAGCAGGTGGCAAGCTTCCAGTTTACTTCCACTTTGATTTTTCTATGCTGAGTTTTTGATAATTACTATTATTTAAAAAATATTTTATTGTTTTTATTTTATGTGTATGAGTGTGCTGCCTGCATATATGTGAGTGCACCCGTGTCATGCAGTCCCTCAGAGGTCAGAAGAGGGCATCAAATTCCCCTGGTACTGGAGTTAAGGATGGTGGTTTTAGCCTCCATGTGGGTGCTGGGAATCAAACCCGGGTCCTCTGCAAGAGCAGTCAGTGCTCTTAACTGCTGAGCCATCTCTCCAGCCCCGATAATTGCTATCATTAAATTAAAAATCCATTCAAAATTAAACATTGGCCAGGCCATAAGGGTAGCAGTTCTGAATCTCGATTCCAGGATTTGAAAGGTTATGCAATACCCAAAGTTGATGATATCACTTTAGAAAGTAATTGTTATGAAGAATGAAATAAAAATACTTTCTTTTCCTTTTAACTTTCTTGTATTACCTTTCAGAATGGCTATTAAATTCTTAGGACAAATACTTTGTAGTTGTTTGGATCTAACCAAATAATCAAATGAACTATTAAACATTTTTTTTGGAATGGGACATTGTGCAAAACCAACTGAGACATTAAGATTGCCATGATCTGAAAACTTTGGGATATCATTGTGTGACAGCTAGGAGCTTGAAGTTTGGGATAAGATGAACCCGAGTTCGAAAATGTCTCTGTCCCTCTAGGCTTTTGGACAGTTTCTGGATTTCCTCATCTGGAATTATGAGAGTTCCTACTTTGTAGAGTTTTATGAGGACAGGTTGAGTCGATGGACACAAAGGTTATGACAGGAGTTTTTATTAAGTGTTAGCTCCCAGGACTGCTGACAGATGCACCACTCAAATACAGACTTGCTCATTCAGGAATTCAGTTCCAGCGCTCGCATCTGCCAGGTGAAACAACAGAAAGGGTGCTTGTACTCGGCCAGATGCCACCTGACTACTGTCGGCAAGGGCAGTCTATTCCAGCCTGATATTTTCACAATCACCTTGCACATGCATTTTCAAATCCTAATCTTGTTGACAACTGAGATGAAACTTTATTGTCCGATCCTGTTCTTTTTCAAAAAGAAACAGCAAGCTATCCTTCCTAACATTGCTCTCTAAGGAAGGCCTTCTGGAGGTCAAAAGAGAACAAAAAAAGCATAATTCTAATCCAAAAAAATGGCCATAAGAGTTTGCTTTCCAACAGGAATAATTATTATTGATTTACAGTGTAATAGCAGCAAACAGCTTTGGTGATTGGTTAAATGTCCTCACTTTCCTGGGGCCATTAATCAATCTTGGCAGCTATTTATTGCCTAGCAGACTACCACACAATAAAGATGAGCCTGAAATCAACTCCCACAGTAGCTTTGACAGGCGAAACTTAATATTTAATGTTGCATTACCAGCTGAGCTGAGACTGGGGCTCCGTTGCTCAGTGGTTGTTCAGTGGTAGCAAGGTTAACCATGAAGGGGCGCTCTGATCAGCCTTTGCATGCTGCTCCTGGCATGCTGTGGCTTCAGCACTTACTGGTAGTTTAAACTTGGGAATGGTTTAAGTGTCCTGCATAAATTGTCTGAATGATGATCATAACTGCAGCTATCATTTGAAGCTTCATGAATCAGGTTCTTTTTTTTTTTTGTTTCCTGAGGAGAGGGCCATACTGTATCTCAGGCTATTTATAACTACAAAGAACAAAGGAATTTATTACGATTTAGATGTCTCTTTTATTCTCAGCTATAGTTTTCTTTTTTTTTGACTTAAAGAGAAACATTTTATAAGCTTACTTAAAATACATTATATTTACACACACACACACACACACACACACAGTTTAAATGAAATTATAGCACATGGGGTGATAATACTTCCCCGAGGAGCCATAGACTAACAAATACTTCAGTGGCAGGCCAGGGAAATCTCTCCTCGAGTTATAGGTCAGGGGACTCCAAGAGACCCCCAAACAACACAGGATATTGTCATTATTCTCTGCTGCTCCCAGAACTTGAATGTAAGACCATATTGCTGCAGACACTACACTTTGGACACAAAACCAGGATCAGTTGGTACTGATCTGGAAGCCTCTTTCCTGAAAGCTGGCTCTTACAGTATCAGAAGATGCTCTGCAAGTTGGCTACTTGAGAGGCTAAGAAAAGAATATTCATTGAATCCAAGTGTTAAGAGCCAGCTTGGACAACTACATTTTTCCATGATTCCAAATTTTAATCCTTTCTGACCAGTGGTAATGTTGGCACTGAGGGAGCTCAGAAATATGTGAAAAGAGAACAGGTTCATTTGTTTTTTTTCCTCTTTACAATCTTGCCTGTTATCCTTAGTCAGTAAAAAAAATAGTTGGAGTTGGAGAGATGGTTTGGTGGTTAAGAGCACTGACTGCTCTTACAGAGGACTTGAGTTCGGTTCCCAGAATCCACATGCTGGCTAACAATTGTCCATAATTCCAGTTCCAGGGAATCCAACACCCTTCTGATCTCTGCAGGCATTGCATGACATGGGTGCACTTACATGCAGGCAATATCTCATATACATAAAATAACAAAATTTAATAATACAGTTGATCTGTTTGGTTTTTCTAAGAGTATGCAAATTAATAATAGTACTAACAACAACAACAATAACAGCAGTTAATGGATCAAAATGTGCCAGGCATTGCTATTATCTCAGAGTTCAGAGAGCTGAGTGAACAGGCTCAAGGCTACAAAGGGAGCTAGTAGTAGAGCTGAGAGTGGTTCAGAATTCAGAGTTTGACCCTGGAGGTTGAACTCTTACAGAGCAGATGGTTTTACTACTTAGTGTCAAATAATCTGCAGGTCATATGTAACTCTTCCTAGCTTCACATTGATGAACAAGCCACTGTGTTATCCTTGCACTGTCAAAGCATATCTATGTCTAGGTTCAAATGTCAATTGTGAAGTCTTTGTCTTGGAGCAGATGATGAATGGAATGGTGTCTGAGCATCAAAGAAAATGATATTTGCACCATCCCAAGTGAATACTAAGATGTGAAATGACAGTATTTCCTCTAACCGTAATACTTCTGGAACATTATATCCTAAAAAAATAAGATTATAAAATTACTGATTAAATATAAATTCTATGCATCCTTCCTCTTCTTAGATTTTGATGTTAATTATTTGGCACATTGCATGGTAAGTTAGAATTGAACCACTTAAATACAATTTAACCATTGATGAGTTTTCAAAAGAGAGTCCACTATCATCACTCTTTTTATTTGTTCAAATCTTTAAAATTCTGATGGAAGATCCAGATAATATGGGAGAAAACCTCGGATATCTGTTTTACACTTAACATGTAAAGTAATGAAATAAAACTGCTAACTTTGGGGAGTGCCTGTTGAATGTTTTCTATTTGGCCTATACGCTATGTGTCTACAGAGTGAAGGACATGAATAGGGCAGAGTCATTGCTTTAGGGCATTTTCCCTCAACTAGTCCCTCCATGGGCACCAAGGACAGACAGCAGTCAGTCCTCTGGATCCAGAACAAAGAGCTTTGGCTAGAGTGATTAAACATTCCATATCTGCCTATGTTTATGTTAATAGAACTCTCTTTGTGTTAAGATGCCTGCCCTGTTTCGTTAATTATACTGTCAGTCTCTCCCTTTCTTTTCATTTTTCATATGGACCTGAATCTACTGCTCTTCACCTATAGGTCATAGCAAATAAACTATATAGCCCTGACACAACAGCGCAAGTAGTAATTAGGTTGCCCTGACCAAACTGATTCATTCTTTGATAACTCTGAAGATTTGTGACACTGATGGCTCTTACATTACTGAGAGGCAGGAGGCAATCTTGGCGATTCCCACCAGGCTGCTATGGGGATAGGAATGCCTCAATAATATAAAGTGATTTCCTCCTCTTCTTTCAGGTTCAATGGATCCAAATGACTTCCTGAGGGAGGCACAGATAATGAAGAGCCTGAGACATCCAAAGCTTATCCAGCTTTATGCTGTTTGCACTTTAGAGGATCCAATCTATATTATTACGGAGTTGATGAGACATGGAAGTCTGCAAGAATATCTCCAAAGTAAGCTAAAGACTTAATAAAAGGAAGAAAAGGAGGAATTTAGTTTAGTCAGTCCCATAAATGTCAATTTAGCAAGCCTTCTATAACCCGAAGGATATTTGCAATGGGTGTAGAAATGAATGTTGTGGCGTTGACTAGCTCAACTACTATTTAATGGTGTATGTTCTGTGTAGAGGATGCTCCCTCAAAGGAAGAATATATAGTGGATCAAATTGTTCACAGTAGTCATATCAGAGTGCTTATATCTAATGTGGGAAATTGGTGAATGGATGATGGATGTTTTCTCTGTTTCTTGTACTAACTAGTTGAACATTATTAGTCACGGACCAATATTTTCCATGGAGTAGAATTTGTGGGCATGGATGTACTTTGGAGGAAAGGCAGAGAAAGCTATCTTAGGGTTTTAAGTTCATATTTACTAATATTGTATGCGTGGATATTTAAAAATACTTCCATGGTTAGCAACTGTCATAGTTTGTTTCTTCACAGCTGTGACAAAACACTTTGACCAATAACAACTTGGGGAGGAAAGGGTTTATTTATCTTACATCTCCTGGGTCACACTTCATCAGGGAGTCCAAGGTAGGAACTCAGGGCAGGAACCTGGAAGAAGGAGCTGGAGCACAGGCCATGGAGAAATGCTGTTTACTGGCTTGCTCTCCTGGCCCCTGCGCAGCTTGCTTTCTTAGGCAACACAGGCCCACCTGCCCAGAGGTGGCACCACCCACAGCGGGCTGGGCCCTTTCTCCGATATTGCTCAATGATCAGGAAGATGCCACAGGCCAGTCCAATGGAGGCAATTCCCCAACTGAGTCTCCCTCAATCCAGGTGAGTCAAGTTGACACTAAAGCTATCCAGCACAGCAACATCAGAATTTCCAGACTGAAAAGCAGAAATGCATTACTGCTACATTCTTCCATTTGCTTCCTGCAGTCATAGAAGACGTAAGGACCTTGTGAAATTTTGATGTTTATCACAAATGAGCAATGTTAAAAATAATAAAATAGTAAGCATTACAACGAGATGTTTAAAGTTGAGATAAAGTACTAAGAGAATAATAGATGCATGAAAAATAGACATCAGATTTCTTGGAATGTCAGAGGGTGATAGAATGGATTAGCAGGTAAGAACGGAACAGAGGGTGCAGGAAGATGCGAGCATTCTCTGATTTCAGGGAGACGGTAAGTTGAGGATTCAACCTTGCAAACCCCCCAAAAGAACAGAGATTATAATGTGTCCTATATAGTTCTGTGAAAAACAAAAACATACTTAGCTCCCTTCCTTGCATTCGGCACTGAACGTAGCAGCCTCAGATTATATGGCCTACCATAAAAAGATTAACCTTGGCCATTGACGCTTCCTACCAGGAAGAAAGCAGAAGAATGATCCTATGTCATACTTGAAACAGTGCTTTGTAAATGTCACTCATAAGAGCCACATTACATAGAATTGTGAATTTCCAGTATTCATTTAATTCAGTTGATTGATTGGCTTCCCCAGATGTCACTCAATGGTTTCCTCCATCTTTTCTTTTTGGTTCTTCTCAGCCTGTGTTGTTTTCCTCATCTCTCAGACTTCGCAACAGCTGAGAGTTCTCCGGGATTCTTTCTCAGTGTAATTCATTTTCTTGTTAATGTCATCTAGTCTCAGTATTTAAATGTTTGTGTTTATTCATGCCTTCTTTGAGTTTCAGGAACATGTTTATAATTATTATTTTGACGTTATTGTCTTGTGTGTCATCTACATTGCTTTCCTCTGGTAGCATTGCTATGGGAGTACTAATATTTGGTGGCGACATATTGTCTTCATTTGAGGCATTCATTATTATGCCAATATCATAATCACCGGAACAAACAGACTGACTCTTAAATTAAGTTTTTAACAGTGGGCTCGTACTTGAACACTACTTCCCTTAGCTATCTATTGAACCATTTTTCTCTCAGGCTGTGCTGATGGATCTCTCTTGTCCCCTCAACCTGTGCAGGTGGAGCTGTTTGTGTTCTCACCCTGTACTGTTGGAATTGTCTCTAGAACCCCATTTCTTCCACTCTGTTGTCCCCTCCCTTCATCAAGCCACACTCATAATTTATTCAAAATGGTTCCTCTAGCTTCATTGGGGAAGTACAAGTCCAAGTTCACTTCACGCTTGATCTTCCACAGACCACATGGTCTTTTCATCCCTAGTTCACATTCATCCAAGGTCACATGTCCTTTCTAAGCGCCACTGTGTTCTATGGAGGTAGGACACTGCCTGTCAGTGCTTCGAGATGTTAATTCTCAGACATCTCCATGTTCATTCATTATCTTTTGGGGTGAAATACCAAACTGAGGTTGCCAAAGAGATGCCCTGGTTATCAGATCCAAAAGCCATAGTTTTGCTGGAGTTAATTAAAAGTCGGTCCAGATTGTGTTCATTAATAAAAGTCATTCCCACATTCTCTTTTCATGTTATTTCTGTTCCTTTGAGGGGACCTAGGCATTGGAAAATAAGTTGTTGGTAGTGTCTCTTGGTAAGGATATCTGTCCCACCTTTGTTGAGTGAAGATTTGGATCTCTGCTGTTGTCTCAATTTGTTAGGTTATAGATCAGCTGGTGTTTGAGGTTCAGTCTTGGGGCCACTCAGTGTTGATGTGAGAATGGGGTGGGAGAAACAGTCCTAGCTCAGATTGGGCTAGGTGCAGCTTTTGAGCACAGGAGCAAACCTTCCATGGAGTTAGCTACAGATCCTCAGATGTCTGTTCTGTGACTAGTCCTCAGATGGCAGGGGATGGGGTCACAGTAGGAGTGGATGGTGCTATCTTCCTGAGATGCACAGGTTCCCTAGATGTTCTCAGGAGGTAGGAGCTGCGGTAACTGTTGCTACTGAAGGAGGTGCACAGGGCAGTCTTCAGGGGGAGGGGGTTCTAATTGTGGTGGGGTGAATGTTGGGAGCTGGAAGAGGTATACAGGGTGCTATGCAGTCCTCAGGTGCCTGGGGATGACCTCTGGGGTTGCAGTAGGGGTAAGAGCTGCTGTCTAGGGAAGATACACAGTTTGCATGGTTTTCAGGTGGTCAGGACTTGGATATACTTCTCATTTCCTTAAAGTCTTTATCCAGACATTTCTCTTAGTGAGTCTTTCACCTATCAGATTCTGAGGTCTGACATCTTTCTGTTGGTTCTTCACAGTCTTCTTTTCTGATTCTGTTTTTTTTTTTCCTCCTTAGTTGTCAATCATCTTATATCACATTATTCATTTAACTTTTTTATCTCCTAAATGCAACTCCACAAGGACAGAGAGCTTTCTTTGTTTTAGTGTTAGAACAGTGTCTGGTGCACAGAAGTTGTACACTAGTATGTGTTGACTGAACAGTTAAATTTAGATACCTATAAAGTAATTAATTAGGATTTGAAGTCAGTCAGCTAATTTTGAGACATCTTACAGAACATCTAACATATCAGACATTTAGGTGCTCCGTAAGGAGCAACAAAATTTTTCAGTTTTTGTTTATTCAGTTTTTAGTTTTTTGTTTTTTTTAAGACAAGGTCTCCCTGTCTCCCCAGCTGGCCTGGAACTTGCTATGTAGATCAAGCTGCCACAGAGCCTCCCAAGGGCTGAGATTAGAGGTGTGCATCACTGGTTGTCATTTTCTGTTTTTATTAATCAAGTCCTGACATGTTCATCACTCTCATGGGCACTTTGCTGAAGCAGACTAAAATAGGAAGGCATATTGTGTTCACCGAGATGCCCTTTAACTGAACGTGACTACGCCACCCATTCCTTTTCAGACACATAGAAGTGTATCCATAACCCCCTACTGTTCTGTGCTCAGTAGACACAATAAGGGCAAGTTTAGGGAGGATTGCTTTAGAATAGCTTTTGAGAACATAAATTTTCAGCCTCAAACCTATGTATATTAGAATCTCTACTATCTGCTCCTATGAGGAGTTGGAAGCCTATGAAGCACAAAGGGCAGTCAACAGCACTTTATATAGTTGTTCTGGGCATCACTTTAGGTGATATATGAAGTCAACTATTTGGGACAGTAATAGAAGAGAACATGTATATTCTTTTCTTTATAAAATACTATATTACTTACTACATAACGGGCACTTTCTCCTATGTTATTTAAAAACATTAACTTAGGTTATCTGTTCTAACACATTATGAGGTAAATATCATCTCCATTTAATAGTTGAAGAGACTAAAGTATGGAAAGGTTAAACAACTTATTCAAGGTGTAAGTCTGGGTCCATGGTGCCTGCTTTTCATGAGATACACAACACTGATGTTTACCTAGCCTGTGTTAGCTGTATGTTGTCATCCTGCAGACATTTATTATCTCACAGTTACTGTAGGCAGGTATACAGATGGGGCTTACTGGGTCTCATAGCACAGGGTCCCTTAGCACTGTGGCTAAGGTGCCAGCAATGCCTGAGCCATCTCAAAGTTCTGGAGCAGATTAATCTGTTCCTAATCTCACATTGTTTGCTAGAGCTGTTTTTTCCTGGATGTTAGGTTGAGGAAGTCAGTTCTTTTTTGGTTCTTGGCTAGGTATTTCCCTCTGTTCCTGTCTACACAAGACAGTTCATAATGTGGCAGCTTGCTTCAGTAGAGTGAGGAAGTGAGGATGCAAGAGAGTGGTGAGCACTCAGTAAGATGAAGTCATGGTCTGTCACGACTCAATCCTGGAAGTTTTGTGCCATCACTTTTTCCATATGGTATTTGTTAAATATAAGTACCTGGGTCCAGCCTGGCTGAAAGGAAGGGGATAACTACCAGGAGACAAGGCTAACTGGGAGCCGTGCTAGAATTATGTACTTTGTATGGCTAGATAGCAACTTCTAATCACTATACCTTTCTTTTCTTACTGAGTAGATTTGGTATCAAAAGGTATGGCTGTTTTGGACACTGGAGCAGCCATGCTTTGTCTTTATGCTACACCCTGGTTATATTTTATCTTCATGCCCAGATCTTGTTTTAGACTGGATACTTAATGTTAGCAGCTATAACATACAATTCGAAGCTTTTGGTGACTTCACACACAAAACTAGTTATTTTTGATATGGTGTAGACTTCTCTGAGGGGCGACAAAGGAATTTGGGCTCTTTCCATTGTGTGTCTTTACCCTTTGACACTTATCCCTCTAGCCATTGAGATGAGGGCAATTTTAAAGGTCAGGACCTTAGCTGCAGTACATCATTTCTGCACACAAAGTATTTCTCTAAGCTAGTGAACTTAAATGTAGTTTTTTGTGTGTGCACTGGATGAAAGGAAATAGAGAGCAAAAAACTAATGATCCTACTTGACACACACACACATATATATATATATATATATATATATATACTGTATACACATTCATGGTATTTAAGTTTGGAGTAGAGTAGAGTAAGGAAGGCAGAGTATAAATTGGGACGATACTGTATACACATTCATGGTATTTAAGTTTTCCCATTTATGAATTCCTTAATTCTATTTTTTCCCTTTTATTAGAAAAGCTAGCATAAATGTCAGAACTACATAGATCACATACAACAGCTCAGCATATAATTATAGAGAGAATAAGTAAGCAACAGTGTAACTGTTGCCTAAATCAAGATTTTGAACATAGCCTTAACATGGAGCCCAGCAGTCTTCCTAACTCCAGTGCAATAGCTTTCCCTGAAGTCAGAACTTCTGTCTAAACCTCATGACATAAGTCTAATCAACTATGAGAAATGATATTTGACATAAGCAGACAAGGATAACTTGATTTTTGTAATTATTTTCAGTTCTTAAGAAATATGACGATATCTACTAACAGTATGACAGTTTTACTCAGGGATGACATGAAAGTTCAGAAAGTTAGGAGAAAATAGCGCTGTTCTCTACTAATAATGGCAATGAGCAGTAGACAAATTGCTGTCCATTTAATGTGTGTCTGTGTCTGGACAGGTGAGCAACCTATTCTGAGAATAGCAAACCATGGAGGGAAACTAAGCATGCATCAAACTTGGGGCTAAAAACATAGCATAAGCAGTTTATAAGTAATACACACTTTTTTTTGTCAGTGGGTTAACTTTTAAATGTTAAATTGTTGAGACTTTCATACATGAGTATTGTCTTTCATCATCTTCATCCCGCTCAGCCCCCCGCCATCTCCTCCCATGTCCCCCCCACTCCCTCTGAATTTCTTGTACTTGTGATTATTATTGTTACATATATAAATACAGATTTTTAAATATACATATATTAATATATAATGCAGTCAGTTTAGTGATGCCAGTGTGTACCTGTGTTTAGAACTGGGATTAGCTAACTTCTTAGGGAGCTAATCACTAGAGAAAACTGATTCTCCCTCCCTCAGCATCCATTGATTGCTTGTAGCTATTCATCTCGAGGTGGAAGCCCATGAATTTTCCCCCATCCACCTTAGCATGTCAACTGATTTTGTCATTATGCAGATCTTATTAGACTACCATTCTGTGGAGATTTCCGTGAGTTAATTTTAAAGAAAAATCTAGTGAAAGGATGAGAACTTCTTTGACTCAGCCAGATACATGAACACCAGTTTATAAGCTCCATGACTGAAACAAACAATGCAGTTCGTTCTTTAATTTAGAAAATTGAGTATTTATACATGATATGTGCATGTATGTTTGTATGTGTGCATGTGCCCATGCATATGTGTGTGTGTGGAGGCCAGAGGTCAACATTAGGTATTTTGCTTAATGACTCTCTACCTTGTTTTTTTCTTTAAATATATATTTTTTAATTTGTTTGGATTTCATACAATACATCTTAATCATATTTAGCACCCTCCTTCCCTAGCTGCACTGACCCATAGCCCACCCACATATATGTTAAGGCCTATTGAGACAAGTTTGTGTACACAGATGTCCCTCACAGTGGATTCTTCCACTGGAGCTTGTTCAACCTGTCGTGTCACTCCCTTGAAGAAGATCAACTCTTCCTCATCCAGCGGTCATCAGCTGCCAATAGTTCCTTGCCAAAGTTGTGGCCTCCTGCCCATTTCCCCAGTTCTATGTTGGTTTTTGTCTAATAGAGTTTCCATGGGTCTTGTGTATGTTTTTACTATTGCTGTAAGTTCATATGAATAAGTTCCCAGAGGTTTGTAAGATTCTGTTTCCTTATGGGTCATGTACCACCTTCCCTGGTTCTTACAATCTTCCCACCCCCTTTTCTGCAATAGTCCCTGACTCCTGAGTGGGTGAACTTTAATATAGGAGTCCTGTCCAGGGATTCACCTTGTTTTTTTTTTTTTTTAAGACAGAGTAAGCCCTGAGCTCACTAATTTTCTAGACTGATTAGCCAGTGATCTCCTGGCATCCTCTTGCTTCTGCCTTGCCAGTACTGGCATTGCAGGCACATACCACCATGCTTGGCTTTTTATGTGGGTGCTGGGAGCCCCAACTCAGGCCCTTATGCTTGCGCATCATGTATTTTACCAACTCCACCATCTTCCTAGCCTTGGAACGCTTTAAATAAAGACAGAAACTTGCAAGGAACAATTTCCATGAAGAGGTGAGACCATGATGTATGATACTGAAAAGAAACACAGCAACTAGACTCTGAGTCACACCTGTGTTGGAATGATGCGTGTTGCTGTTTTCTCAGTAGAGCATCATCACAGCACATGGTTCCATTGATAACTTATTCATCAAAATTCTCAGAATTCGCTTCAGTAGGTCAAATATTTTCTAAGCTAATCTCTTATTTTCTCTTTTTGTTCAGATGATGGTGGGTCAAAAATCCGTCTGACTCAACAGGTAGATATGGCGGCTCAGGTAGCTTCTGGAATGGCCTATCTGGAATCGCAGAACTATATCCACAGAGATCTGGCTGCCAGAAATGTCCTGGTTGGTGAACATAACATCTACAAAGTGGCAGATTTTGGGCTTGCAAGAGTTTTTAAGGTAGATTTAATTTTGTCTTAAATAATTTTTAGAGTAGGTTTAAAAACCATACAGATTAATAGGCCAATAAGTTCATGATTATTATTTTAAACTATGTTCTCAGTTAGGTGTGGTGGTACACCTGTAATCTCAGCACTCAAGAAGCTGAGACAAGGGGATTATGAGTTCAAGGTCAACCTACAAACCTTAGTGAGACCCTATCTCCAAAGAACAAGAGTAACAAGAACAAAGAAACAGAGAGAGAGAGAGAGAGAGAGAGAGAGAGAGAGAGAGAGAGAGATCCTACAACCCAACTATGCTGTCTATCTATGCTCCATAGATAAAGCCAAATAGCTTAGGACCTTGTAGGAAAACTGCCTGCCTATTTTCCTTTCTCCATCAAAAGGGAGCAAAAAGCAACCAGGGAACCACTGAGAAGCTAGATTGATAAATAGGTATTTAACTTTGTGCTCTATTTTTAAATATTTCCAGTAGCGCCTATTTGCCTTTCCATATTTCTCTTACAGAAAGCAGTATGCTTCCCATATCCACTCCACCCATCTTTGCTTGTTTGGCAATGGACTGATACTATGCTATAGTAATTCTGCAGTAATCATTGATCATTGATGTGTGTGTGTGTGTGTACGTGCATGTGTGTGTGTTTATATGTGTGTGTATGTATGCATTTGCCTGTGTGAAGACATGTGGAGGACAGAAGCTGACATGGAAATGTCTTCCTCAATCATTTCTCCATTTTAGTTTTTGAAGCAGAGATTCTCACTGAACCTGTAGACCATTCTGGCTAGACTGTTGCTGGCAAGTAAGCTCCCAGGGTCTGTCTCCCTCCCCCAAACACTGGGGTTACAGATATGTGCCACCTTGGCTTTTACACAGGTGCTGGGTATTTGAACTTGGGTCCTCATGTTTGGGCAACAAGTACTTTGCCCCCTATCTACAGCATCTCCACGGCCCTGAACTTTTTTCTGGGGAGGTCTTTTTGAGACAGGGTCTCTCTGTAATCCCAGCTGCTTGGAACTTGCTATGAGGATGTTGGCCTCAATCTCACAGAGGTCTACCTGCCTCCCAAGAGCTGGGACTATTGGTGTGCCCCACCATGCCTGGTTATTATTGGATTTTGATACCCCTTCCCCAAACAATTTTGTGACACCAATCCAAAAACACTAATAAGATACAATAGGAAGCATTTAAATATGAATTAAGCTTTGATTTCCACATTGTTCACTAAAATTATGAATGTGGAACATGAAACACAACAAATAAAGGATTATCTTTTGATACCATTACTTTTCTTTCTTAAAAATAATTGGAAACCCACTGAACTGATAATTTAACTTATTTGGATTCTATGTTTTAGTACTAGTAAGCGGTTTACATGATAATAATTATTAACGTCAGTAGTTCTTCAGTGCCAAAAGCAATTGAAAAAAGACATCTTTTGTTCCTCATTTAAAAAACAACAAATCCAGAATCATGAACTCTGTATGCAGTAGGATAATGTTCCTTCTGCTGCAATTATTAGCATGGAGTGGGCTCCCAAGAAATATTTGTTTGTGATTTCTGACATTGATTTCAGTCTTATATGTCATGTTCAGAATATATACTACTGTAAAGACCAAATTTCCCTCTAAATTTTCATATGAAACAGGTTATAAAGGAATGAAGACAGCAAAAGAAAGAAAAATCACTTTAACTCGGTTTGAATCCTTCCTATATTAACAGGTAGATAATGACGACATCTATGAATCTACACATGATATAAAGCTGCCGGTGAAGTGGACTGCACCTGAAGCCATTCGTACCAATAAATTCAGCATTAAGTCCGATGTGTGGTCATTCGGAATTCTTCTTTATGAAATCATTACTTACGGCAAAATGCCTTATAGTGGTGAGTAATTAATTCTGAAGCGGGCCTTTCTGCTGCAGGTCACTTACTTTGATGTGACTTTAACTGCTTTGTCCAGACTTAGAGGACAGAGTTATGAGGCTGACCATACCATGTGCCTGTGGGAGCTTGATAGATAAAATTTGACGACGATAATTTGCATTATTGAGGTGGTTTATTGCTTTCTTCTCCTTTGCTCTTGAATCGCAGTCTTATGGTCATTACTTACTGCAGGATTTGCTTTAGCGTCTACAACCTGGGAAGTGCGTGGTAGATCTCATAACTTCGTCAAGGAAAATAATTGGCTTTGTAACCTAGAGTTTAGTGTCTACAGTTTAAAGACTCTGATCTTCCACTTTTTGTGGTCCCATTCTATATTTTTAGGTATGACAGGTGCTCGTGTAATTCAGCTGTTGAGCCAAAGCTACAGACTTCCACAACCACCTAACTGCCCACAGCAGTTCTATAACATCATGTTGGCGTGCTGGGATGCAGAGCCTAAGCAACGACCATCATTTGAGACCCTGCATCAGAAACTTGAGGACTATTTTGAAAGAGACTATTCATCTTCCAATGACTTTATAAGCTGAACATCGAAGAGAAAGAAGAAATAATAAATAGGTGAAAATTGAAATTATCAGTTCAGAAATATAATTTCACCAAGCAGCTGTGAAATCAGTTTGTTTTGACATATCTAGGTGGTAGGGTAAACTCAACCATGTATTATAGAAGAGACTCTATGCTCATCCTATTGACTGGGAAACACTGTGGGGCCGTCTAAGATGATTTATCATTTTCTCACTGCCTGGTAAAATCAAACACACTAAATGAAGTTATTTTTCTTTTTAAGAGATACTTACATTTCTATTTATTGTTTGAAATGCCGATCAAGAGAATCAACAGACGATAGTCAATTTTTACTCAGTGACTGTTGTAGCATTTTCCTGTTTACTGATTAGAGTGGTTATTCATTATTCCTCAAATTGCTGAATCCCATCAGGCTGTTATTATGAAGGAATTTGATTGCTTTGCTGCACAGCAGGACCTGTGCTTTGAGATTTTTTTTCCTCTTTTAAAATATCCTGTAACTACAATGATGGCAAAGCCATGTTAAATGACTTGATTGTACTTGAAGTAATTGCACATATTTTTCCTATGCACAAGAAAATGAAGCAGCTGTTGAGAAAAAGAATTAAAATCTTTCTCATTTTGTAGACAGAAATGATGAAATTTTTCTATACCTCAGTATGTGTCATCTGAGAATCATCTGCATTTATTTTAATCTCTTAATGTCAGGAATCAGGTTGCAAAGCTGATGAGTTGTTATGCATGGAACCACCTAATGGTCCACAAGGCCTGAGAAACAGGCATTAAAGTAGTATAGGGAAATAAGGGGAGAACGTAAGAACACTACAGCATCCTATAATAATCAAAAGTGTTTGGCAAGTTTTAAATCAACTGCAAAACAGGCCAAGCACTGTTTCAGGTCTTGAGGCCAGGAAGAATAATGTCTGAACTTGGTTATGACCTGTAGTTTTTCTCTGTTAAGAAGCTTTTTAGTATCTTAAATTTGCATTAACATTGATAGAAACTTTACTGTCTTCTTAAGTAGTGGGCAGATCAAATTCTCTGCTTCATTAGATGACTAGCAAGACTTCTTCAAAGTGGTTTCAAAGTCAAATATATATTGGAATATATATATATTCCATGATCTCATGATCTTCTGATGCACAGCACCAAATGAAAAAGCCAAAAGAAAACAGGATATTTCAAGTAACTCATTTCTCTTTAAGAGAATATCAAGATCGTAACAGTCAAAAAAAAGAGTCAAGACACCAGGTGCAATACCATTAGCAGCCCTGCCATGTCACTTGTCTTAGTTTCCTTTCTGTTGCTGTAATAAAACACCCTAACAGAAAGCAGCTTAGAGCAGATAGGGTTTGTTTTAGCTTACAATTCCAGGCTACAGTCATCCTTGCAGGGAAGTTGCAGTGGCAAGTGCTTGAAGCAGCTGGTTACAACATCACATCCTCAGTCAAGATCCCAGAGGAATAAATGCATGCTTTGCTAGCTTGCTTCCTTGGGCTCAGCTCAATTTCTTCACTTTTATACAGTACAGGAATGGTGCTGCACAGAGTGGACTGAGTCTTCTCTTAACAACTAAGTTAATTAAGATAATCTCACACATGCCAGAGACAACTCACTGTAGACAGTCTCTCATTGAGGCTCTCTTCCCAGGTTGTGTCAAGCTGACAATTATAGCTACCATCATATCACTTAAGACCCAAATCCTTTCAAGCCCTCCATCCACCACTAGAATTGTTTGCATTCTTTGGTCAAGGATAATTGTCTGTGGTAACTGTTCTCTTCTTGTCTAGCAAGAAAAATTGGGCAACTTCTTTCCTAGGCTTCATCCCGTTTCATGAAAACCATTCTTATTTTTCTGGTCAGGTAAAAATGAGTCATATGCCCAACTCTGGACCAACAATACATTTAATGTGAATATTGTGTATTGATTGGCTTAGAAGAAGTCTGCCACTATTAACTTCTCCAAGACAAGTTGCTTATTTGAATAAAATTAGAGATTAGTTACTGGGTGGGTATCCATTAACAAAATCACCTGTGATGAATTACCTCTTCGAATTAACCTAGGTATACATACATGCAAGTGTTCATTTGTCATCACAAACATTTCTGAAAACTGTGATGTGGATCACATAGAAGAAGTAAAAACTGCTGTAGGACCACTCATAGACATAGAAGCATTTATAAGACATTAACAGTCAGTTGACCAGGTATAAGATAACCTCAACTCTTTATTTCAAGTCATCTAGTCTAATGCAAACAAGGAACAGATTATCAGTAATTAATTAATTAAAATTAAAAGAAGTTTCTCCTTTTCCTGAACTTATTTCTTCAGGTTGAATTTTGCTTGGGCATATATAGAAATGACTGGAAAAATTCCCCTTTCCTTGTGAAAAATTCAACTGCTGCTATATACTTCATTTTTCTTTTTTTTGTGGTAGATGGTAATAATAAATTTGTAGTAAGATCTGGTCTTAAAATATAAAAAGGTTATCCTTTCCTGTTTTAATATCACCTGAAACTCATTTAACTTAGTGTGTTTGATTCTTGAGGACATTTCTGCTCAAGGTTCTGTCAAAGCAATCTATTATTCCTGTTTTTACCCTGATGGATCATGGAGAAAAATAATGGATTCGGTTATGAGAAGCAGTAATAGATTTTTTTAAACTGACATAAATTTCTCTCCTTGTATAGAATAAAAGGATCAGGAAATGATAAGTTGAATTTCCTACAATGAGCCCGCCCTTGTTAAATTTGCCTTCCATAAACTGTTGCAAGGTACTTTTCATGTGATGTTTTATTTATGTAATCTAGTTATTTGGAGGTGAGGGATAAGAGTGCATCATTTGATGTGGTACTTCAAATTACTTTTGAAAAAACCTTAAGAATTTTTGTGCTAGGGAAATTCAAAATTCCATTAAGCCTCATTTTAAGAATGTAAGAAATAAAATAGGGTTCAATTACCCATGGTCAAAGAGACAGAGAGTAAGGTCCTAGTAGTTGTGCGGACCTGAATACTTTGTCATCAACCACAAAGCTAAAGTCACGTCAATCATGAATGTACAGCTGTGTTGTGGAAATACCTCAGAGGCCACCAAATGGCCGAGCCTTCAGGGAAATAGCACAATACTTACAGCTGCTACCCACGTGTTTGCATGATGGCCATGCTGATCTAGTGAACCCTGATAGGCACCGATTCCTTTGATTCTAGTGGCCTAAAGGAAATTGTTGCCTTGAAAGGATCTCTTACTATCAACCATCTAGAATTTCCGGGAGGAAGCTGGCCCTGCTGCTGCTCCATGCTGTGCTGAGTGTATGCTGAACCTGCAATCATGTTTTTCTTGGTATAGCTGAGGATATAATATTTGGGTCAAACCATCTTGCTGGTAGTTTGTTTATCGTGACTTTGTAAGATTCTTTGTAAAGATGCGTTGTGTTTAAACTAAAATGGTGATGAGTTGAGCACGTTGCCCAAATTGCAGCACCATCTTTCTCCCACTCAGAAATGAAGAAGAGCACCAAGAATGCTAGTGGGTCAGGGAGCTCATCCAGAATTGGTCAGTTCTTATATTTTTTGACACATTAAGGAGAAGTTTTATTCTATAATCATCATCATTCAGTGTTGTAGGAACAGAAAGTTGGGAACTTTGATGACTACTTATACATTTTTAGACCCTTGACCCAGCAATATTTTGACCTCTATACTGCTATCCTTCCTTGCCTATGTGCCTATTTAACTTTTCCTGAGTTTTATCCTTCATTTCCATTTTTTTGTTTATGTTTTGGGACATGTTCTCCCTATGTAGCTTAGTATAGACTTGCTCTTACAATCATTATGCCTCCCCCGCCCAAGGGCTATGGTTGCAGAAGTGCATCACTACATCCAGATTCTTTTTCTCATCTCTCTTTTTGTTTTAAGAATGATGGGTAATGTCTCAAATGACCGATTTCATCTAGAAATAAACTGGAAAGTGAAATGGAACATGTTAGTATGTCATAAAAATAGTGAAATAATGTTCTTTGCAGGGAAATGGATGGAATTAGATGTCATCATGTTAAGTGAAACAAGCCAGACAGTAAAACAAGAATGGCATGTTTTCTCTCATGTGTAGAAATGTAAAAATATGATCTGAAAGTAAAAGAGAGATGGTTAGAACTAGGGCAGAGGACATGGGAGCTGGATGAGGAAGACTAGAGGGAAGAGGGTAAGAGAGGGCAGAAGGGAGGGCGGGCACGATTAAAGCAGGACATGTGCATACATAACAATGCCACAGTGAAGCCCCATTAATTTGTAAAATATGTACTTACAATTATAATTAAAAATAATATGCAAGCCAAATTTCTGAGATTTTAACGAGTTTATTTGAAGTCTTTATTCAGATGATACTATTTGCATAAGGGTTACACAACCCTTGGAAGGAAAGAGGTGCCCAGTTACTTCCATTTACTCTTCTTACCTGCATAGTTAATTTATCCATCAGTCATCTAAGGCAACAGCATTCAATATAACAACTTTTACATTCTCATGGAAAACAATTAGCTCTCTCAGAAAGACAAAACAACTCAGGCATGCATTACATATCCAGTTAGATGTACTTTGTTCAGGGGACTCAAGTCATATAATAGCCACAAAAGTGTATGACAGGGGAAAATAACTAAACACAACATAACTAAAATCAATCTGTTTGGAAGAAGTGAAATATTACTTTGTAAAAATTTCCTGAGACATTAGACTAAAGGCTTTATATAGTACTGTTTGTTACCTTTAATTTTCATGAACCATAAAATTTCCAGATGAAAACATATCATAGCTTTTAATCAATTTTCAAAATGTGTGCTTATAGACTGGAAAAATGAGAAATAAAGGCACATAGCTAGATTAGTATACTTTAAAGATAAGACAGTGAGAGCTTTTTGGTCACTTAAATACATTCATATTTCTGTATGGTACCTTCTAATATTTTTATTGTGCAATTATATGTGAACGTATATTACGCATGATTGTATGTTACAAAAAGATAAAAAGACCTCTTTTAATTGTACTGTTTATATAATGTTTTTACCTTGATTCAAATGTAAAAATTTAAAAATAATTTCCATTTCTGAATTTTTAAATTATTAAGAACAAGATTTCACTTGGAAATATATTTTACCTTACCTGTTCCATCTTTGTTCATGATACATTTGCTTAATATGAGATTAATATTAAATTGATTGTTCAAACTTGACTTTCAAAAGTTGAATTTACTCTTTCAGGAATCCAGCTGGTTGTACAGCCAACAAGTCCTTAGTTGACCGCATTAAAATGTTCGTGTTTGCAGTATGGAAAGCAAGTCTGTAAATCCAGTCAGTGTCTGTGATTGTTTCTGTGCCACAATTCTATTGCAGGTCTTAGAGCCAGGCTGATGGGGACGCCATCACTCCTAGTTTGTTAGTTGTTGTGGTGGTGGGAATGAGGGTTTTGGTGCATCTCATACCAGTAGTGATACCTTTGGGGTCGGAAGATATACTTTGGCTCATTGAGCACAGTCATACGGCTTTACAAGGAGAGCTGGCTTTGCAATCCAACGGTGCCCAGATTTAGGACTTCAGCAATACTCAGGTATTGCTTACTGGGGCTAGCAGTGCTAGAGATTAGCCACAGTATGCTAAAACACAGAGTAAATTTCAAGTAAAATTCAATTGTGCACTGCCTTGTACAGTCATTCACTGTGTGTGTGTGTGTGTGTGTGTGTGTGTGTGTGTGTGTGTGTAGTGTTGTAGATGTGTCAGTTCTTGTCTGTGTGTGTACCTGTGGAGGCCAGACGTTGACACTGGATGTTTTCTTCAATCACTTTCTACCTTATTTTTGAGACAGGGTCTCTCATTGAACCTGGCGCTACCTCCTTTGTCAAGATTGGCAGGCCAGCATGTCATTGGGATTCATCTGTCTCTGCTTCTATACCTTTAGGGTTACAGACTCAAGATAGAGCACTGGAGTTCTTACCTGGGCTGGAGATTGAACTTAGGTCCTCATACTTGTGCAGCAAGTGCTATATTCACTGAGTCATTTCTCCAACCCACATCACACATTGTTTTTTCTTTTCTTTAAAAAATATTTTATTTTTTATTTTATGTGGATGGGTATATTGCTTGCATGTATGTAAGGGCAATGGCTGTGGAGGTCAGAAGAGGGAGTTGGGGCTCCTGGAACGGAGCTACGGATGGTTGTTAGCTGTCATGTGGGTGCTGGGAACCAAATCCAGATACTCTGTAGGAGCAGGCAGTGCTCTTAACTGCTGAGCCATTTTTCCAGCCCATCCATTGCTTTTTCATTAATTATTTTATTAGTCATTCAATAAATATTTATTGATTGCCTGCTGAGTAACACACATTTGGCTAAATGGTTGGGTAAAACTGTGAATAACAGTAAAATAGACTCTGATTTATCTAAGTTTTCAAATTGCCATGTAGTCAGAATGGGGTATGTGGATCTCACCTCATAAACTTGTGTGAACAATTTACCTCTGGTTTCCCTCTAAACATTAAGTTGTTGCTTTCAAATGGCGGACAAAGAGAGACGACAAAAAAGTTGGGAAGATATCCTGGCCGACTCCTCAGAAAGAATGCACTGACCATTTGTTATCTGTTTTCTCTTTTGTATATTGAAAGTCTGAAACTCAATTAGCCATCATAACCATGAAGCAACTTGGAGATGAAGTTGCTCCTAGGTCCTTAACAGAAGGGAAGCTTCCATGCCTGCCTTGGACTCCTGAGCTCAACTATAGGAAGGCAGAAATGTGCCAGTTCAGTTGTGGTTATAGCTAAGCAATATTGTTCAGTTTTGAATTCCTATTTCTGTACAGCATCTCTGTTAAA